TTTACGTCACTTAAAAATTAATGTCAACTTAGGTTAAGGCCGGGATCGCACTGGGGTCAATGTTGGCACCAGTGCGGTCCCGACCTTAGCCTATGTTGACATTTGTTAGTGACGTGAAATATGTCAACCTGTCAAAATTTTGACTGATAAACACCAGTTTTTCGTATACTCTCCACACAAAAAGTTGTAAAAAAGTTCATCTTTCAACGCTCATATCTCAAAGACCGTAATACCTACAAGATTTCGTCCCATTTAAAGGTTGTTCAGAATTAAATCCTCTACAACATATCAAAAAATGGGCAAAATCCATAGAGCCCAAAAATCCCATGTTAGGTGTGCGTTATCCGTGCGATCGAGTAATCGATTCCTTCGAAAACGGCAGATAAAACTTATATAGGCGGATAGAAAACATCGAGGCGAATTCGGAAAAATCACTAAAAAAATTCCATGGCCAACTTAGCCAGCTGTCAATGTCAAATTTTTGACAGGCGGAAGGAATTTCAAAAAAAGGGCTCCGCAAAGCACGAGATTTCTTTAAGGCGTTTCGGAAACACCAGGCGAAATTTTGATGACAGCTGTCATGCGACCGGAATTTGTTTATATTGGGTAAACGGCTTTTCCTCACGCTTTACCTTACATGGTGGAAAGCTCAAACTCGGTGGGTTATGTTTATTCAACTTGGCCGACCTGTCAACGTCAAAAAAGTTATTTTAGCATTTCTCGGAAAATTGAAAATCCGAGTGTCGGAAAAGTTTCCCCGGATCCAAAAACCCCTTAAAAAAATTTGACATTGACATACGTCAAAAACTGACGGCGGAAACAGGAGAAACGTCATCTTTGACATACGTCAAAATTCGTTCGGATAGAACTTTCGTCGCAAAACACTTTGGCCTTATCGACAGATGTCACCTGTCAAATTTGACACATGTCCGACTGTTTTCCCGCCAGCAAAAACCAAAGCATCAAAAATTCTAATTATTTGTTTATTATTCTTTTATATAACCGAAACCGAATAAACTGCACTCTTGTAGACAATTTAGATTAGGGATTCGGTATCGATCTCACCCAAGTTCAAGTCGTTCTTATTCTCACATAAAAGAAATTACCACAAAAAAGTAATCAAATTTCACAAATCACTATTCTGAAATCGGTAGAATAAAATAAGGAAACATGAGAAATTAGAGCCATAACGAAGAAAGAAAATGGCGCGGGACGCGGTCTTTGGCGGTCATCTCGTGGCTGGCTGGCGCCTTGTACTTGGCTTGAGATGGAGGGAGAACATGAAGTTGATTTGACAGTTGAAATGCGACATTGCCAAGGCCTCTGTTTATTACCTTGTTTGGTCACAGTGTTCTGTTCAAGAAAAATTAAATAGCGCAAAGCATCTGGACAATCAAGATAAATTATGTCTACAATTAAAAACAGCATTTTGGCGTGATTATTATTTAGATATACGGCAAGTTTAATAATTAATACTCAGCTTTCATTGAACTTCTATTTGCAATCATATTAAATTTGGCAATGCTGCACAATCATCATTCATTTTGCTGGCGGAAATTTGGAAATATATAGGTTGCGGTTGATCACTAATTAGAATTACCATTTGCAGGTGTAGATAGATGCAAAATAGGATTCAAATAATTTTATAGGTGATTATCATCACGAGTTTTTGTGTTAATTTTTGTTTTTTTTTTTAACATTTTTTTTGTACTTACTATGTTCGTACTGAGAACGACTGAAACTTACATACAAAGAACGTACCAAGCAGTACGTATCTACTTAGTACATATTATTTTGGTCTTAAGACGTAAATATGACCTAAAATGGACGTGTTTTTAAAACGTACTGTGTTGTTTGGGTATTCACTTGGCTATATTCAAAGTCGCAATTTCATTGAATGAAGTACGTATTTCTGTGACTTGAGGAATCCTTTTTTTCAGTATATGTATAGGAGTAAAAGCGGTACTTATTTCCCTAATAAAAATACTCACAATTTACAGATCATGTGTACACCTAATTAATTATTAATAATTAAAAACTTCAATTTCAAGTAGGTACATATTTTCATTAAAAGGTAAATATCACTTTTACTCCCACTAAAACAATAGTCTATTTCCAAGATTTTGACAAGCTGTCATTTCGTTAGGGATGAAAATAATAAGACGAAATTCTAGGGCCATAAAGAACTCGATGAGACCTTTAAAAAGAGGTGTGACACGAACCCTATCCCCTATTCAAATTTAGGGGGTTGTTCTCCCCCTAGCTAGGGGGTTGAAGCTACGCGGATAAAAAAAACTGAAAAAAAGTACCCCCTCAAATCAAAAATTGACGAGTCTGAGCGTTTTCCCAAATTCCAAATCCAATAAATCCCTGGGACACCCTGTATATTCTAATATATTATGTAGTTTTTTTCTAATACGTCTATAGACGATTTTCTTTTATTTTACTGGATTGGTTACGAAATCTATATTGTTAATGAATGAGAATATGATCCAAAAAAAATAAAATTCAAAAAAACCTTATCACCTAACAGTTTATTAAATAAATAAAATATTCACAGGTCATTAACCATATAATCTAGGAAAATAGTCGAAAAATAATAATATATATTTATTTATATATTTATATATTTATAATTGCAAAAAAAAAATTCCTACCCAAATGAACTTTTCAGGGATGATAGGGGGCGGGTGGGTGATCATAAAACCGAAAATATCAAACATTCACCCCTCTGGCGTTTTGCGCTATAGGGGTTGAAAGTGCACCATTGGCGATTACTTGGTACCTATTGATTTTACAAAAAAAAAATTCAAATAAAAGATGTGCAACATTATTTGATCTACGTTTATCTAAAGACTTTTTTGATTAAGGGTTGTCTGTGGTCATAAGGGCCGTTTGAAAGGACCCCGCACATTTCTTATAGAAAAGTGATCTATGTGGAATTTTGCTGAATTTTTGATATTGTGTAGAGGGAGTCCTGCTTAACAAAAGTTATCATTGCGCTAATGTTTTTAAGATATCAATTAAAAACAGTTTTTAAGATATCAATTAAAAACTTTTTTAATATAATACTCTTCAGTATGACGTCACCTGTATGCTCATAGCACCGAAAATGATTACTATCCTTCCCACTTTTGCTTTGACCATACTCTTCTCCTTTTAACATTAAGAAATAGAAAAAGATAGCCATAGCGATGAGTGACAAATAAGTAGGTAAACAAGTGTATTGGTATTATCCTGATGGGTAAACAATACCTAGCTCCTGCCCTGCCGCAAACGTCAACGTCATGTCATGTCAGTCATATAGCGATTTCATTTGTACCTGTTGTTGTTTTTTTTTTTTTTTTCTTATGTTAAAACGAGAAGAGTATAGGCAAAGTCGAAAGTGGAAAGAATAGTAATCATTTTTGGGGCTGTGAGCATATTGGTGACGTCATACTTAAGAGTATTATATTAAAAAAGTTTTTAATTGATATCTTTTAAAACTGTTCGGTATTAAACATTAGCGCAATGTTAACTTTTGTTAAGGACGACTGCCTCTACACAATATCAAAAATTCAGCCAAATTCCACATAGATCACTTTTCCATAAGAAATGTGCGGGGTCCTTTTATAATGAAAATAATTTTTTTTAGCCAAGTCTGTTTTTTTTTTTAAAGATAAAAGTCAAAATGACGTTATGTTGGCAATGCAATGTAAAATTGTCAATGCTTTCAAATTTTTTATGTAGAAAAGGCTTATGTTGCCAACATAGTTACTAAATTTTTGACTTGGGGAATTATCTTTAAATAAAAAACAAACTTTAAAACATTTTTGCTTTATGAAGTTTTTACTCACCCCCTGCCGTTTTTCAATAGGGGTAGTTTAGTTTATTAATTTTTTCACAAAAAAAATTTCCTCATAAAAGTTTTATAAGATTACATTTCCTACAATTTTTCCCAATCAACTTTTTTTGTAACTCACCCCCATTCAGCGGGGGGACACTTTTCTTAGGGAAATTTTAGTTTTTGGGGGTATATATTAATATTTTTTTCTTTTCTCGCCTTTAGTGCATATAAAAAGGTGCAATCAACATTGTATTAAAAGGATTTTTTTTTCCACCACCTTTTTGCTTTTAGGGGTAGTTCGCCTATTTTCAACTTTACAAAAAAAAGTTATAGAGAAAAGTTGCTTAAAATAATAAAATGAACAAGTTTTCTTAATATTTTTTTTCTGTAAAGTTGAAAATAGGCGAACTACCCCTAAAGACAAAAAGGTGGTGAAAAAAAAAATCCTTTTGATACAATGTTAATGCAACTTTTTATATGCACTAAAGGCGAGAAAAGAAAAAAAAATTAATATATACCCCTAAAAACCAAAATTTCGTCGAGGGAAGAGTTCCCCCACTGAATGGGGGTGAGTTACAAAAAAAGTTGATTAGGAAAAATTGTAGGAAATGTCATCTTATAAAACTTTTATAGAGAAATTTTTTTTGTAAAAAAATAAAAAAACTTTAAACTACCCCTATTGAAAAACGGCAGGGGGTGAGTAAAAACTTCATAAAGCAAAAATGTTGTATGAGTTGTAGAAAATTGTTTCACGTTGGTTAAAATTTTTCATTTTCATTATAAAATTTCAAACGGCCCTTATGACCACAGACGGCCCTTAATCAAAAAAGTTTTTAGATAAACGTAGATCAAATAATGTTGCACATCTTTTATTTGAAACATTTTTTTGTAAAATCAATAGGTACCAAGTAATCGCCAATGGCGCACTTTCAACCCCTATAGCGCAAAACGCCAGAGGGGTGAATGTTTGATATTTTCGGTTTTATGATCACCCACCCTCCCCCTATCATCCCTGAAAAGTTCTTTTGGGTAGGATTTTTTTTTTTGAAAATCGACAATTTTCCTAGACTAATAACCGATTAGGCAATTCACGTATCTTATCACCTTATCAATTTAATTATTCAATTTCAGATCTTGAAAGAGCTTATTTTGACCTCAAAACACTCAAGTGCCATTATTCAATTTTTGTTCTCGAATTTTTAGGAAAAAAATACCTCACGACTTTACCGAAAATAATTTTTCTGAAAATCGCAATTGAGAGCAGCATCAGAAATAGTACAAAAGCGTATACGTCTAAAAGATAGTACTGATAAAAGGGTAAATCGACAGCTGAATATCTCAAATGGTGTGCACCGTCATGACGTAGCACGTATTCAATCCAGAAGATCGCCTGGTCCAAGGAATTCATTGGTTGATCAGAGACGATTTTCGATTGTTTATTAATATTTTGTTGGTAGCTGAAAAAAAAATACATGTTTGAATACCATCACACCTCAATACAAAATCCAAAAAAGACTCACAATGGATCTATTAAAAGTTTCTGAACCTTTGCGTTAAGCTCCTCTTCAGTAAACGAATGGAAATCAATCGTCTCGGCAATTCCCAGCCCAACAATCCTGTCAGAATTGGCCTTCTGATCCCCTAGGAACGGTATAGCTAGCATGGGCACTTTCCTGGATACAGCTTCATCCAGGGACTGCATCCCGCCTTGAGTTATGAAAAGTTTCACTTTGGGATGGCCCAAGACGTCTTGTTGCGGAAACCATTTGCGGACGATAAAGTTTTTCGGCAGGTTTACGGGAAGGCTGTCGCTTTCGTATTTCCAGAGGACGGCGTAAGGCAATTTGCTCAAGACATTAAAGATTTTACTCAGCTGGTGTTTGGAGACCTGCGACGATTGCACGTTGGTGCCCAGGCTGAAGTAGATGGCATCTGTCTTGAGGTCGGACATGATTTTTGAAAGGTCCTGCGAAAACGGGAAAAAATTGTCGATATGAGGATTTAAAAATGTTCTTTGATCGCCATAATGTCTTTTATCTATATAAATTCTTTAAAAAGTTGCAGACTTTAGAAATAGGGGAAATATAATATTAAAAAAAATTTCAAACTTTCCAAATTCCCCGGGCTTGAGCCGCTTGAGGATTTTATTGGACTATATACTAGACTGTTGAAAACAAAGTATTATTGGCACTACCCTGTAACTAAAATTGTGATTTTTTTCTAAATTCTACGAATGTCTCTACACATATAAGACGTTACCTAGCATCCAAAATATTGGAGTGTGTGTGATAAAAAAAATGAAAATCTTACCGATGGCAACGGTTTTTGCGGAGTAACATGTAAAGCACTAATAGGAATATACTTCGGAGTGATGGGTTTGATGTTTTGCAAAGCGAAATTGTAATTTCCAATGACCAAACTAACTTCTTTGGCCAATTCCGTTGTGGTTTTGTCGACTTTTGCAAAGTATTTTTTCACTTGCTTGTTTAATTTGGGGGCCATTTTGTAGTTGACCATTAGCCTGTAGATCCAAGTGTGGATCCACGTCTGGACGCGTTCCATGAATGTTTTGGCTTGCGTAAACCGTAGCATCATATCTGGATCGACTACTGGGTGTTTTTCCATGCCCAAAATGTCCGAGCTTGAAGTAGTTAATGGCAAACTAGTGATCCCTACCATTGGGACATTATAGATATCCTTGAAGGCGTAATAAGGTGACCACAAGAACTCTACCAGAAGTAGATCAAAGGTTTGATTGTTGGCTTTTCTAAGCAAGTCTTGCAGATAAGGGTGGTTCAATTGGGCTTCGGATGCTTTCACGTATATGTTGAAGAATTTGCTGTAGTCGTATTGCGCCTTTTCCAATTGCTTCGTGTATTCGAAGCTGAAGCTTAAATCATACTCGGTCAAGTTAGTCAAACTTGGATCTTTCAACGGCGAAGGCGTGTAAACGGTTACCTCGTGGCCTCTTAAGGAGAGTTCTTTCCAAATCGGCTGAAACATTATTTGGTGGCTGTAGCTGGGTGTCATGAAAATGCCCAGAATTCTGGCACCATTTGTCGCAGTAGAGAACAACAAAAGAATCGCACAAAACACTGAAGCCGCCATTTATTTAGGATCGATGTAAAGTAATTTTGGGAACTATTCGAAATGAGTAGGTTTTTATAAACTCTCATTCAATAATCAGTCGAATTTTTTCCTGTTTGAAGAGGATATTGTTTTCTAATCAAAGATTGTACGTGTTTTATTTGGTTGTGTAATTGATAAGGATCTCTATTTGATATGTATAAGGAACAATTTAATATTATTTGATTATTTGTATTAATTTATTGTAGGTCGAACGAATCGATTGCGTAGGTACTAATCCAACTTGTGGTTTTCCCGAGCGATAAAATGTATACCCGAAAGTACTTGTTGCACCTGCGTGCTTCAAAACCGAAGTGTTGTTTATTGTTGTTCATTGTTCATTTTAATTATCGTCTCCTATTTCCGCCTCAGGACGGGACCTATCGGGTCTTAAAAAAAAAACCATTCAAAGATGGCTATGGTTTTTTAACGTATTGAGGAAAACCACCTAATTAAAATATTATTTATTTAAATCTTAATTTAAAAAAAAACGTTTACTGAATAAAAGTAAATATTGCAATCATGTACTGCGAAGTTTAGATTTAGGGGAGAACGAGAGTACCGAACCGAACGGGAGGTAGAGAAGAAGCGATTAGGCATTAGACTGCAGAACAAGCTGGGCTGGTCCCTAGACGCGTTCTGTCTGTAATTATTCATTATTCAATTTTCATTTTCATTTTGCATTAAATTGATCGTTCAATCCAATTTGTTATTAGTGTGTGTGTCAAGGAGCGATGACAGGTCAGTTGAATAATTGTTATTTTGTTTTTGAGAGTTCAATTATTTATACAAGTATAATTTTTTTCATTTTTTTTTTTTTTGTTTTTAATTTTTTTTTTATAACATGTGCATTGTTCATGTATTTAACAAAAAACGTTTCATGCTGTAAACAACACCGATAAAGAAGTAAATTAAAACCTAAGAAATTATGCACAATCTCAGCACAAAAAGCTGAGATTTCGATTTTGTGTATTCAGAGCGTGTATTAGGGGATTGTTGAATTTACTAACATTTTCATTCTCTGACGAGAGAATATCCTAACAAATTGAAATAATCATTCTAGAGATATTGGCTCAAAAACAACTATAGCTGTGAGTTACCGTAACTAGGGACCTCAGTACCTGCCACAGATAAGCTAACTAACCAAAAAACTCTTCAGTATTAAATATAGGTAGTGTTGATTAAATGTAGTGTGTGTAATTAAAATTTTAGCACAATAGACTATTGACTATGTCGAATAAACCGGGGGTAAAAAGAACTAAAACGTTAGTGGAATTTTATTGTTTAATATGTTCAATTAGCCCCTAAAGATGATAAAACTACGGAGTGCTACCAGATATAGGGGTGCATTTTTAAGAGCGAGGTGAGTTTGTCAGCTTTTTGGGTTTTCGGCTATAACTCAAAAACTATTCATTTTTGGTGCATAAATGCATAAAGGTTTCTTGTAGAAAATAAAATTTCCTATCGAAATGACATGTTGACAAGTCCAAATACTTATTTTTTCAACAAAATAAATCCAAAAAACAACTTTTAAAAAAAAATGAAAAAATTGACTTTTTATTTTTTTCTTCAATTTTTGCCTATAACTTTTTTCTGAGTTGACTTAAGCATAGGCATTGCCTCATGAAAAACGAAGCCTATGTAATTTTCGTCAAAATGGCGGCTGGTAGAAGTTCATATTGTCGCGGCTTTGGGTTGCCTGCTGACAAAAATCTTGGGTTCGTTGTTCGTTTCGTTTATTCCAAAAATCAAAGTCCAATTAACACAGCAATAATTTATTCCACTTAACAAAACACTCTGACACTAATTACTTTATTAACAAACTCAACAATTAAACTCTTTACAATCACTATTTAAATCGTATCACACTCGAACTGAAACTAACTTACAAACCAATGCCGGCCTTCTTATATATCCCTAAATCTATTCCTGTGAAATCTAGAATACACACGATAATCTAATTTTCCAGATTAAAGTAGAATAATTCGCTAGATTCTAGTATTTCCGCGATCGATTCTTGACAGCCTGGCGGACGTTTAGCTTATTGTGACACTGCCCTCCTCTTAAGGTTGATCGTCCCGATCAACTTCACGCCCATGATATTTCGCCAACCTGTCCAGATGTACAACTTTCATCGTACTCCTGGTGTTGCGCTGGACTCGATAAACCAAATCATTGATCCTCTTGATTATTTTGTAGGGTCCCTCCCACCAGTGGCGTAGCCAGGATTTTGTCTTGGGGGGGGGGCAAATTTGCAGGAAGCGTCTTTTGCGGCCCTACCGCGACCGCTGCCAGAGGCAAAGCGCCGCAGGCGCGAAATTTTTGGGTGCCACGCCCCTTTTTCAGGTTTCTTTACGCTATTTTTGGGACTGTTTATCTTAATTTTGAAGAAATATTCATAAAATTTAAGGGTCTTGGGGGGGGCAAATGCCCCCTTGCCCCCCCCCTGGCTACGCCAGTGCCTCCCACGCTGAAGACAACTTCGGCGATACTCCTTTCTTTCTAGCTGGGTTATACAACCACACTAAATCCGACCGAATTGGCTTTCAAGTCGTATCTGGTCTTCATTCGGTCACTGGCTAATTGAATATGCTCCCGAGCAAAATCATGGATACCCAGAAGTCGTGCCTTTACTTCGTCGGCATAATCTCGGATTTCTCTTCGTTCTTCTTCGGGTACTCCAAACATCAGATCGCAAGGTAACCTGAGTTCCCTTCCAAAAACAATTCTAGCCGGACTTTCACCTGTTGAATTGTGAACAGCCGCTCTGTAAGCCATTAAAAATAGAGGCAAATGCTTGTCCCAATCTCGTTGGTTCTTTGCGACCACTTTTGTCAGGTGTTCCTCTATGGTCTTATTGAATCGTTCCACCATGCCATCAGACTGAGGGTGTAAAGGTGTTGTCCTGTTCTTACGGATTCCCATGATCTCACAAATTTTCTTAAAGATGGCAGATTCGAAGCTTCGTCCCTGGTCTGAATGTAACTCTAGTGGCACACCATGACGACTAAAAACTTCGTCCACTAGCACCTGGGCAACAGTGATGGCTTCTTGATTGGGAATAGCGAAAACTTCTGGCCATTTACTGAAGTAATCCATGATAACTAAGATGTATTTGTTACCACGCTCTGACTCTGGGAACGGTCCAGCAACATCTATCGCTATTCTTTCAAATGGGAGACCGACGTTGTACTGTTTCATGGGCCCCCGAGATCTTAGTTTAGGGCCTTTACTGGTAGCACAGATGTTGCATTTTCGACACCAGCTTTTAACGTCTTCATGGTAGTGAACCCAATAAAAACGTTCCCGAATTTTGTCCAAAGTCTTGTTAACTCCGAAATGTGCCCCTGAAGTTCCGTCGTGTATCTCTTTTAATACATCTTCCACTCGGTCTTTTGGGATAACCAGTTGGCTCTTAGTGGATTTCCCATCGGCACTTTCCCAAACTCTTTTGAGCAACCCATTTTCTACGGCCAGAGAGTTCCACTGGGCCCACAACGCCTTGTAAATCAAGCTTTTGTTTGACACTTCCCCCCCATTCTGGCCTACATTCATCATTTTCTTTAAGACGTAGAATTTGCCCGATGTCCTGGTCTGCCTCCTGATCTTCTCTCATTTGTTTGGTAGTCCATTTGTCATCGACGATCACGCCCGTTCTTCTTACAACTGGACTAGTGTTTTTCTCATGTATATCGATTCTTTGACAATGCTTGCAATCTTCTTTACATGGCCGTCTGGACAGAGCGTCAGCATTTTTATGCAGGTTTCCAGGTCGATGTTTAATTTGGAAATCGTATTGCTGCAATTTCTCAATCCATCTAGCAAGCTGTCCTTCAGGAGTTTTCATTTCTAAAAGCCATTTTAGAGCTGCGTGATCTGTTCGAATTAGAAACTTGCGTCCGTAGAGATACTTATGAAAATGGTCGATTGCTTTTACTATGGCAAGCAACTCTCTTCTGGTGACACAATAATTTCGTTCCGGCTTTGATAATGTTCTGCTGTAGTACTCCACGACATGTTCTTGTGAATTTTGGATTTGTGAAAGGACAGCTCCAACACTGGTGTTACTTGCATCTGTGTCCAAAATCAACATGCCTTTGTGATCAGGATAGGACAACATTGGGCTCGTACATAATGCTCCTTTCAATTTTCTAAATGCGGAATCGCATTCTTGAGTCCAATTGAATGTTGATTTTTCTTCTGTTAATCGATGAAGTGGAGCAGCTATATTGGCGAATCCTTCCACAAATCTTTGATAATAAGAACATAATCCTAGAAAACTCCTTAGTTCATGTTTGTCGCGTGGTTTTGGCCAGTCCCTGACAGCATCTATTTTTCCTTCCATAACTTGTATGCCCTCTTCAGATACCACGTGACCTAAGAATTCCACTTTCTTTTGAAATAGAAAACACTTATTTGGATTGAGTTTCAAGTTGGCATTCCGGAAGCGGTCAAAAACTTCTTTCAGGTTATTGAGATGTTCTTGGAACGAATTTCCCATAATCATGACATCATCCAAATAAACCAGGCAAGTTCTCCATGTAAGGCCTCGCAAAACAAGATGCATCAGTCGCTCAAACGTAGCTGGAGCATTACACAATCCGAAAGGCATTACATTAAACTGGTATAGTCCGCTTCCGGTACTGAAGGCAGTTTTCTCTTTGTCATCGTCATGTATTGCCACTTGCCAGTATCCACTTTTGAGATCCAAGGTGGAAAACCATTTGGAGCCCGATAGAGTTGTTAGTGTATCGTCTATTCTTGGGAGAGGGAAGCTGTCCTTCTTGGTGACGTCATTGAGCTTTCGGTAGTCCACACAAAATCTAAGACTCCCATCTTTCTTCGTAACCAGTACTACTGGCGCGGACCATGGACTATTTGACTCTTCAATGACTCCCTCTTGAAGCATTTTATCAATTTGGTTTTCCACTTCCTGTTGCTTAGCTACTGGCATACGTCGTGGTGGTTGTCTAATTGGGTGT